CAAAATCATTTCAAAATGCCTTTTAGCAACTAGTTTTCTTATGGAAATATTGTGAAAGTAAGTAGGGTGCATTTTATTTTTTAACAGGTAAAACAAAGTGCTTCACAGTATAGTAATATAAATACTTATTGTAAAGCAGAGGTGAACATAAAAAGTAACATTATAATATAATCAGTTACACATATGTAAGATATGTCATAGTGTTGTGAGACCAATAATACTACAAGAAAAGGAAGAAAAAGACACTCCAGAATAATAATAGAATAACCAATTCAAGACCACTACAAGAGCCCGTTTAAAAAGACTGTTTTGAAAAATAGAGATTCGTCCACAATTCTCAGGCTCAGGAAGAAACAGAGAGTCTGCAGGTCACCACAGCCGATGTTCAGTCTCCTTTTTTTCTTTAGTCCAGTGTTCAGACTAACATGTCAGAAACAGATGTACTATTCCTAAAGTTCATGAATCTTTTCAACAATGAGGCTAAATTGATGTCACCCCATTTCCTTCAATTACATCTGCTAGGTCCAATCAAAGTACAAGGGAATCATTTTTAAGTTTACACTTCAGTAGAGAAGAATTTGATCCCAGAATACATCTTGGGTCTAGATTTCCAACTACTAGAGTTTTCTTCTCACCATAATATTTTAGAAGTTTAAAATCTTCACAGTTAATATTTTCTGGCAACTTTAATTGTAGGAGAAGAACTTCTATATAATTAAGAGTCAAAAGTTTTCCATTGGGAAAATGTGTGGGGTGCCGTGGTGGTGCAGAGTCTTGGTCTTGACACAGATGTCACAGGTTTGAATCCTGGTCTGATAGTCTTTGCTGCATGTCTCTTCCACTTTCCTCTCAGTTCACTATCAATTAAAGGCCACTAGAGCCAATAAAACCTTGAAAAAAAGATGTGTGGTTGATGTCTTCTTTTCGCTGCAAAGGTTGGAAATAAAGTTCACGAGGAAAAAAAACACATTCTTTACATGGAGGAGAGTCCAGTAAGTAAATCCTTGGACTAAACAAAGCAGAAACTGGAAGCGAGATGGAATGTCTCTCATCGTGTTTGAAACATTTCCAACATAAAACAGGAACCAAGGTTTGAGATAACTGAGTGCAGCACATCCTGAACACTTTATGCAGAAATAAAACTACTGGACCTAAATTTGTTTTGTTCCCATTTCACTTTAAATGAAACATTTTTCATCTTAGAATGATGGATCACTTTTGCAGAGGCATAGAAAATTATATGAGCTGTGCTGCCTAAACAAACAAACCTTGAGGGAGTTTGCTGCTCAACACATTTCAGTGGCTTAGCTGGCATTCAGCACCTGATAAGAAAACGTTTTAGGTTACAACTTTTCCAAAGCCAAGCCTGGAACTGGGGCTGTAACTTAGCTTTGGTTAGAAATCTGCATGCATTACATCCACCTTGCATGTAAATCAATGTTTTCTATTAAATAAGCAAATAAGATAAAATAAAAACAAAAATAAATTTAATATTGTTGGCTTGACAACTAGGTTACATGCTATTTCTAACTACTAGGGTGTCCTGCAAATAATTTAAGTGAAAATTGAAAAACTAAAGTTTAATATATTCATGTCTGTCATAGAAACTCTAGTATGTTTTTATGTATGAATTTTTTTCTTTCGTCTGCAGCTCTGCCAGTCTCTCTGGTGTGTTAACATATTATCACTCCAGCCAGAACTCTTCTGTTATGGTTGCATTTGATCCAGTTATGATTTCACTACAGCAAACAAGACACACCTAGTACACATTTCTGCATATTTATCTGCTTCTTCTCGTTCTGAACTGGTTTGTGCTTGACATGTTTCCATCAAACCCAGTTGCTTCACCCGTGATTCATCTCAATAGTCTCCTTGGAGCACTTTCCTTATCCAGCTACTGTGATATGATCTGCTCTAATGGTGAAGTCAAAGTTTTCAGCAAATGTGTGTTACTACTTCTGCAGCCAGAAGAAGTCTCATGGATATTATCTCTTTACTCTGGTGCACGTCCATACGATCCAAATGTTATGCATGCATGGCCTGAGCCCTTACAACCAGCCTGAGCCATGAAGATGTGGCTAACAATATTTCACAGGTTCTTAGGTCAGTACTAATTTCCAACTGTTATACATGTCTGAATTGTTCTGACAATTTGAACTATTTGGGAATAACCATCCATTATCCATTATTAAACACGCTTATCCCTACTGGGGTCGTGAGGAGTGCTGGTGGTCATTCAGGAAGAGGCGGGGTCACCCCGGACAGGACGCCTGGCCATTGTAAGACAAAACAGAGTCAAACAGGACAAACAATCATCCACACAGGAGGATTTACAGAGACCAACTTGACAGTCATGTCTTTGGGCTGTGGAAGGAGAACCCACACACGCATAGAGAGAACATGCAAACATGGAAGGTTAAAACTTGACCTTTACAAATTCAGGCAGAACCAGAATGAGCTTCAGGTTCAGATCCAAACTCAAATGTTCACCTTTTATGGCGGAAATGACAGAACAGAAAACTAATGGCAGCAGCTACAGGAACACATGCATTTGTTGAGAAGAATAAACTAAAATTTAATGTCTTTGGCAGTAGAAGTATAATTGTCTTGCGTTGGTCTGTGGTTTGGGACCGTCAATATCAACTAAAAGTGAGGAGCTTTTAGTTGGTAGTCTGATGTATTTCTGATTTACTTATGGATTATAACTTTGGAAATCTCTCTCATAATGGTGAATGTGTAAGCCTCTCTCTAGGTGGGTTCATGATGTCTGAGCTTGCCCAGGAATTTACACAATGGATGTTGGGTGTGTTGGCAGAGGTGGGACTTTTTCTTGTCGGATCATGGAAGTCTGCACTTTATCTCCAGCTTCAGTAACAGGAATGTCAGGATAGCAGTTCACTGGCTTGGCCTCCAGACACCCAGCTTCCTGAAACACATCACAGGGAATTATAGTCTGAACAAAGATGATCTCTTGGGCTTGTTTTTACTGTTAATATTATTAAGCTTGGTAAATAAATAAAAAACATTAAACAATGTGCATTCTTTGTGTGGGATAAATATTTTTTTAAAGTGGAAGACAAAAGAAGTGTCTGGCTTCTCAGACTAACTTCAGCAGATAAATTGTATCTGGCACAAGAGGTGACAGATGCATCATCTTTCAGGAAAATAGTTAGTCACCAACAAGGTTCCAGAGAATGTTATTTTACATTATCTTTCAAAAATATTCCCACACCTTCATCCCTTAAAATTCCGGCCATTTGACCCAGACGTACATAATTAGCTTTTTTACATTTAATGCTACAACTAGGGGGCTGCGTGATGGAGCAGTGGTTAGCAGGTTGGAATCCCTGGTGTGTTTCTGCAGGACTTTGCATGTTTCATCCTGTGCATGTTCAGCTTCTCTCCTTGTACTCTGGCTTCTTTCTGCTGTTAAAACATGTTGGAGGGTAGCTGTGTATTTAACTGAGGTAGGCAGAGTCTGGAGGAGGTAAATAAGGATCAATGGGATGAAATGCATGAAACAGAGCAGCAGCAGGAGGAATGTGAACTCGTGAAATTTTCTGCAAGCAGTCATAGAAGGTGTGTCCTGGACATTGAACTGTTTGTTGTGACTTTATGATCATTTTATCAACAAAAGTATTTTAACAATGCCCGATGACACAGATCAGAGGTGGGAACAGAAGTCCTGCCGCCATGTGTCTTTGTAGGAGTTACATTTATTTTCACTTGGAAAGGCAAATTAGGAACAACATGCTCCGTATTTATTGTTTGGCACCATGTTGGTAAGATTCAAACAGGGACAAGATGCAACCTGCTTCCAGAAAGTCTGGGTTGCACTGAGAGATAGCAATAGCTGGCACTAACTACATCATTGTGTTGCTTCACTTTTGGATTAATCCAGGCTTAACTCAGTTTACTTCTAGTTGGTTCACAATGAAATTCATCGGGTTTATTTTAAATTCAGCTTACAAGACTTCAAACATTTAGTTCTGTTTAGCTGAAGAGAAAAAGCTTGCAGTCGGAAGGACCAGTGGGGTTCCTAGCATTCCTTGAGGCTCTCTTCATGTTTTTAGTATAAACGAACGTTGAGTTCCCAATCCTGAAAAGTTACTGCTAAGTCATGTGTGGCTGTTCTATTTTTGTCCCACTGTTTTCCTGACTTGGAATGTAAAGCCAGTGCATTTATCAAAGCCGTCTGATAAGCTTGTTAAAACCCTGAGTGGCTACTACTCAGTTCCCAGCAGGCCTCAGCCCACTCAGTCATCCTCTGTGTAGTAGCTCATTACTCTCATGGTAATAATTTAAACTGAATTGCTCACAAACATTTGAGTATTTTACTTTTATTATCTGTGTGGCAATCCTTCCCAGGCATCCTGCGCAGTAGCTGACTGCAGCTGAAGAATCCAGACTGCCTGACTTTAGTCCTTGGTGATTTAAACCCCGCTTCAAGCAGTATGTGGTTCTGGATGTGTATGTATCTCATTGCTGGTCATATTTCTGTGCAAATAATCTCAGGGTATGAAACCAAAGCTAAAAGATGTTGTAACCTAGACTTTGAACACCACTGCTCTAATGTTTGCCCGTGACGTCTAACCCTACTATGGATGGAGAGGTTCATTCCTTATAACTCATTCATAGGTTGAATGCTATGACAAAAATATGCATTGTTACATAATACCCAAATACCCAAAATCCTGTATCTAAAAGAACCTAAGAATTTCTGTCCTTTATTCTTTGACTGCAACGACTCTTCAAGATTTAGCTTCTGAATTTAGTCAGTGTAACTATTAATTTGCTTCCAATTGGGGACAAGGACCACCCTTGTCCCTGGTTGCCACTATGATTCCAAACATTTCTAAACATCATATATGCAAGAACCTTCTATTTAGATTTTTCATCTCCATATAATTCAATATAAGTGAGCATATTTGCAACAAAAATGATCCTATTACTGAACGTCATAAATTCATAGTGAAGAAATTAACTCAATACTGTTTTAGAAAAATGTCAGTCATAATTGACCATATGAAACGAGATGATCAAAGCGGGGGAAGGAGAAAAAAAGAAACTGTGCTTACTCTTTTACTTTTGGACAGTCATTTTCATGGATAACCATAGCAACAAGGTATTGTTTTTACAACTGGGAGCAGTTGTGAAAACTGTTAGCTTGAGCTTTTAAGATTGTTAAAACCAGTTTGAGCTATGCTTAGTGGTAACTATAAAAAACAGCAACTATTTTATCTCTTGCTTTTATCTTATGCTTTGTTGTTTTAAGTTAAAGAACAGGAGCTGACTTTTCTTTAACACAAAACGACTCCAAGTTATTGACTGCAAGGACTTGAACAGGAGGCTTCACGGATTCATAGAAAGACCAAAACGCTGAGAGAGAAGAAGGAAGTTCAAACCATCTCTTATATCAATCATAAAGGGTAAGGATTATATCACCGACTCTATCTCTCTGTCCAACTTTCTGACCATATGGCCAGAAATCTTTTTTAACAGGAGCAGCAAAACCAAAGGAGGTAGAATAGCTGGGCTTCCCAACAACTGATGGTCTCATCAGACATGTTACTGTGGAATATTAGCTCTATTTCCTGGAAATTAATTTGTTAACATGACTCTCATAACTCTGAGTCAGACACTGTCTGCCTGTCTTCAGTCAGAGGCCTCTTCAGATTTGTTGCAATACTGACTACTACAGATCCTTCCTGCCCACAGCTCCACCATCCAGTACAACTCTTTGAAGGTACTTGGATGATAAGAATTATGACATTTAATTTCCCTTTGTTTTTGAAATTAATTGTAAATACTAGTTTATACATATCAGTGGTAGATATGAGATTGAATTGATCTCATGTTGTGGATTTTAACAGTAAAACACAGTTTAGAGTTTGTGTGATCCATCCCAGGTTCTAAGATCATAACAGATTTTTATGCTTACTGAACGTGAAAGAATCCAGTTCCAAAAGAAAGTTTTTTTTCTCAAGCAAAAAAACTCTAATTCGGATCTGGGTAGGAATGAAAAGACAGTTATCCTTTTGCTTTAAATAGGTTGTTCTCAACATGTGGTATATGATAACAGCTGATATTATGATTAGCATTATAGCCTGTTGGTCTCAATGTTCTACATAGACCTATGATATCCTAAGATTAGAGACATATTTTGGTGCAGGGGGTCTCTTCCAGCCAAACTGTGGGGTACTCTCACACTGAATGCAACAATCCCTAAGTTTCAACCTCCTTATGCTTTAAATTTTCCTTTACTTACAGTATTTGATACTTTCCCCATTACATTTTTTGTGTTTATTAGTATGGATTAATATAGACTGCACCTGATTTGTGCTATTTGTCAGCAACAGTGTCTCTGTGCTCTTGTGGATTGAACAGGTTTTAAGTTTGACAGAAGAAATCTACTAGAAAAGCAGGATCATTAACTGCAGGCACAGGATGTTTGATGTTTTGGATGATAGGATGTCTGCTGGACTGCTGAGTCAGAGCTGCTGGTAAAGATTTAGGTTCCAAGCAAAATTAATCATATGTTTAGGGTTAGAGTCCACAGACTTTTTAGAATCGCACATGATTCAGTTTCCAGATATGATTTGAGATTTCAAGATACTGCTACAGTCTTCTCTCTGTATGTCTTTTTCTTTGTGTGTGTTTGAGTGTGTATGTGCATGAGCGTGTGTATGTGTGTGCACATGTACTTGTACATGCTACATATAGAGACAATGTAGTTAATCAACAAAGGGAGATATTTTTTGGGAAGTGAGGACATTTTCCTGATCCTCACTTTTTTCCAGTTGTACTGAGCTCTGCTGGTTAGATGAATTAAGTTTTGGGTGAGGTTAGGGTTAGTTTGAAGTCAATACAAAGTCCTCAGATTGACAGAAGTACAAAGATGTGTGAATGTTTGTGTTTATAAATTTAGTCTGTGTAAGATGTACCCATCTCCCTGTATGGATGTCCTTCATGCATGTTCTTTGCATATGTTACAGGAATATGCATCATATGATGGACGGTTCTGAGTATGGTTGCCATGCTCTCGTGGAATGGCTCTGAGCAGAGACCTCCTAACAAACTGTTCAGCAAACAGGAAGCGATAGGGGACGCCCAGTCTTAAGGCATTTCCACACCCTCGAGAAGAACATTTCCTTTTCCACACAACTTAAAGCAATTATTACAAATGTAGCTTTTGAAGCTATAACAATCATGGTGTTGATACCAACATATTCAATCAATGAATAATGGTGTTATTTCCTGGAAATGTGTTTTTCAAAGCTAAATTTGACAGTTATCACAAATGACTTGATCTCCAACATGAGGTAACATTAATACACTACATTCTTTATACCTCCATCCTCCACAACACAGACACAGACACACACACACATGTTTGTGTTGCTATCTTTGTGGGGACTTTCCATTGACTTCCATTCATTTCTACAGCCTAAACCTTACCTTTACCCTTTTCCTAACCCTAACCATCACATACCTAACCCTAACCCTAACCAAAACTCAATTCATACCTTAGCCCTAAATCTGACCCCTGACCCAAAAACAGGGTTTCCCCTTGTGGGGACCAGGCTCCGGTCCCCACAACGTCAGGAAAATCGTCCCCACAAGGTATTACAAACAAACGCACACACACACACACACACACACACACACACACACACACACACACACACACACACACACACACACACACACAAATGCTTCCTGGCAAGGAAAAGGAAGGAACAATGTAAACAGGAGGTACTCAGATGTTACCTTCTACCTCAGCCTCAACTCAAAGTTAAATGTAATGAGCCAAGCTGTTATTGTGTGTCCTCACCCACTTTATTCATAAAACACATTTCGAAATCTCCGGTTGTCATGGTGCTGTTCAAGCTACATGCAAAGATAAATAATCAAGCCGACATTCAGTGCATAGAATGTCTGCGTGTTATAGAGACTAAACATATAAATAAATCAGCTGAACAACAGGGTAAACAGTAAAACTAGCTGACACAGTAGATGCAGACTGTTTGTGCATGGTTGTTTGTCCTGTGTGCCTCTGTGTTACCTTGTGATGGACTAGGAAGCTTTCCAGTGTGTTCCCCTCCTCTCGCTCATTGTTGCTGGAGATACGCACACTGCAAGGCGAGGACAAGCACGGATGGATGGAAGAATGGATGGATGGGCACCTCTGAGTTTTAGGAACAAGTAAAAAATATAAACGACCTTAGGGACCTTAGCACCCTACATGTGGTATAAAAACCTCAGAGGTTCAATAAAGAGGTTCATCTAAGAATGAAAAACCACAAGTAGAATTTTAAAATGAATCCTACAAAGCAGCTGTCTTCACAAGTAAGTAAAATGTGTTAGAGACATGTGGTTAATATCAACATACAAGTGCAATAACTCTTGATAAATACAATGATGCATGCTCCAAAATGTTATATGGCCAAATTCACCTTATGAATTATAAGTTCTACAAAAAAAAAGGCATTTTAGCTACATATAATTTTAGACTATTTAAATGCACTGTGAAAAGCAGCTTTTTGGTGATTAAAGTTAAAATGATTGCCTGAAAGATGTTTGCAATTGTCTTTGGCAATATTCTACATATATTCTACATAAACTACAGCTTTCTCTCGTCATCCATGACATACTGAGAGTAAGTTGCCTTTAACTGAAGATAATATTTTCCCTGGAAAATAAGAGTTCCATGGAAGCTCTTACTTTCCAACATATGCTGCTCCAGCTGGATCTGTAATCAAAGGTTTCCTCTCTGAGGCCTCCAGACCAGCCATGTGCTGTAAGGAGTGGAAACTATAATGAGTCTGTTCTGCTTCTGTACGGTTCATCTGGTGATCACTGCTACACACAGAACAAAGTTGTGGCCTCAGAAGCTTAACTTCTTCTCAGTGGAGGACATTCATATGTGTATGCTCTTGAAAGGTTTAAAAGTGTGTAGGCAGGAAATCTCCTTTAATAACAACAATAATAAATGGACTGACTGACACCAACTGTGTGATTTGGACAAAGTTTGGCTCACATCCAGACCACAGATTGGTGGGTACGTGACTCAGTTGTACCCAGCTGGTGTGTGTAAAATGGGCATGCTCTTTACCTCATTACTGTAAGATGAGGTAAGAGGTGCTCTTACCTCATTTGTGTTGGTGTCACTTACCTGCATGGGGTTTGTGGGCAGTCTCCCCATCGACTCAGTTCAATTGGGGACCAAAATTGCAACATTTGTTTAATTTTAATTTTCAGATGGTGCAGTTCACTTTCACACTGCACTGAGTCAGACGATCCAAACTCATTGAAAAACCTGCCCCCCTCCCCCCCCACACCATCTCCTCGTATCTGGTGAAGCTTCACCAAGAACTACCTACACTGTAAAAAAGAGTCCGTAAATTTCACAGCAAGAAGTGGTAAAATACAACTGTAAAATCCAAAACAGTTTATTACCGTAGAAAATACATGGAATCACTGTCAGTCAACACTGCAAAATAATGGCAGAAAATGGTAAAATAGTTACGGTTGCTGACTGTAATATAAAAAAGCACTTAATTACTGTAGAAAATACATGGAATTACAGTAACTCCATAAACACACACACACACACACACACACACACACACACAC